ATTAGACAGCTATTTCTGCTGCTCGACACAAACATTGAATGTTGTCTCTCACATTTGAATGTACATGGTTTTATGTACATGCATGTTCATGTTTTATAGGTCGATATCGTTTTATGAGATCCGCCTCGGTAATGCAGTATTGGTCAGGGTCTAATGTGGACAGTGTGGCACTGGTGGATGGAGCCTTAAACTGTGTGTCAGTCTATCATGAGTGTCGACTCTAAAGCAGTGTGTGGTTCTCTGTTAACGCTCCAGCTTAAAGCTGCCGTATATATCCGTATGTTACTTAACTCGAGAGCAATGTCCTCGGTCTGACCAAACACAGAAGTTGCTGAGTTGTGTGTTTTGTTTGGCTTTCTACAGGATGACAGCACCGGAGAGATGATCTTCGACGAGGTGTTCCATGCCCTGTCCAGGTGTCTGGCTGGTCTGGCTCAACCTTTCAAAGTCCCTGGAACCGATCAACTGTTCAAGCCGAAGATCTTCGTCACCATCTTGGCGTATTCGTCAATCATTGGCCTCACATCCCATCAGGTCATCAGAGTAGCTCGCGGTTCATCCTGTTTTTATTCACTGGTGTTTTATGTACACATGTTTGTATCCAGATGTTCATGAGCCTTTGTATGAATGATCTAAGATTAGCATGAAGTTCTCTGTCCTCTCTGGTCTGGTGTTTCACCTCTGACCTCAGGGTGTGGTCAGAGGTGTGCTCTGTTGTAAGTGTAACCAATAATTGTAGAGGTACTCCAAACCTTTGCTTAAGTAAAAGTAGAAATACCATAGTCCAAAAATACTCCATTACAAGTGAAAGTCCTGAATTCAAAACGTTACTTAAATTAAAGTACAGAAGTTGTGAGGGTTCAAGGTTTTCTCTGAGGGTTCCGGGGTAGAGCAAAGACTCAGACACAGGAGACGAGGGGAATTTGAAAATAAGGTATTTTTAATTGGCTCCAGTCCGTAGTCAAACACAGAAACTGAAAACAACTCCGACCGGGAGCGGGCAAAAATCCAAACTGAAAAAAAGCAAAGTCACAAACCATAGGACAAGATGAGGGAAAGCTCTGGAGACATGATGAGGTCACGGGGAAGGACAAAGCTGGAACACGCAGCACACAGAGGGAAAGAAACAAAGAACAAATTGCAATCTGACAACAGGGAAAGCAGGGGAGTATATATACAGGTGCTGGTCATATAATTAGAATATCATCAAAAATTTGATTTATTTCACTAATTCCATTCAAAAAGTGAAACTTGTCTATTATATTCATTCATTACACACAGACTGATATATTTCAAATGTTTATTTCTTTTAATTTTGATGATTATAACTGACAACTAAGGAAAATCCCAAATTCAGTATCTCAGAAAATTAGAATATTACTTAAGACCAATACAAAGAAAGGATTTTTAGAAATCTTGGCCAACTGAAAAGTATGAACATGAAAAGTATGAGCATGTACAGCACTCAATACTTCGATCAGTCTGTGGCACTGCTCAGGTGTTATGAGAGCCCAGGTTGCTCTGATAGTGGCCTTCAGCTCTTCTGCATTGTTGGGTCTGGCATTTCGCATCATCCTCTTCACAATACCCCATAGATTTTCTATGGGGTTAAGGTCAGGCGAGTTTGCTGGCCAATTAAGAACAGGGATACCATGGTCCTTAAACCAGGTACTGGTTGCTTTGGCACTGTGTGCAGGTGACAAGTCCTGTTGGAAAATGAAATCTGCATCTCCATAAAGTTGGTCAGCAGCAGGAAGTGCTCTAAAACTTCCTGGTATACGGCTGCGTTGACCTTGGACCTCAGAAAACACAGTGGACCAACACCAGCAGATGACATAGCACCCCAAACCATCACTGACTGTGGAAACTTTACACTGGACCTCAAGCAACGTGGATTGTGTGTCTCTCCTCTCTTCCTCCAGACTCTGGGACCCTGATTTCCAAAGGAAATGCAAAATTTACTTTCATCAGAGAACATAACTTTGGACCACTCAGCAGCAGTCCAGTCCTTTTTGTCTTTAGCCCAGGCGAGACGCTTCTGATGCTGTCTGTTGTTCAAGAGTGGCTTGACACAAGGAATGCGACAGCTGAAACCCATGTCTTGCATACGTCTGTGCGTAGTGGTTCTTGAAGCACTGACTCCAGCTGCAGTCCACTCTTTCTGAATCTCCCCCACATTTTTGAATGGGTTTTGTTTCACAATCCTCTCCAGGGTGCGGTTATCCCTATTGCTTGTACAATTTTTTCTAACACATCTTTTCCTTCCCTTCGCCTCTCTATTAATGTGCTTGGACACAGAGCTCTGTGAACAGCCAGCCTCTTTTGCAATGACCTTTTGTGTCTTGCCCTCCTTGTGCAAGGTGTCAATGGTCGTCTTTTGGACAACTGTCAAGTCAGCAGTCTTCCCCATGATTGTGTAGCCTACAGAACTAGACTGAGAGACCATTTACAGGTGTTTTGAGTTGATTAGCTGATTAGAGTGTGGCACCGGGTGTCTTCAATATTGAACCTTTTCACAATATTCTAATTTTCTGAGATACTGAATTTGGGATTTTCCTTAGTTAACAGTTATAATCATCAAAATTAAAAGAAATAAACATTTGAAATATATCAGTCTGTGTGTAATGAATGAATATAATAGACAAGTTTCGCTTTTTGAATGGAATTAGTGAGATAAATCAACTTTTTGATGATATTCTAATTATATGACCAGCACCTGTAGGTGTGGGGTGATGAGTAGATTGCAGGCAGGTGAGTTGAAATGAGTGCAGTGTGGGGTTGGCAGAGGGAAAAGCCAGGGGCGGGTGATTGTGGACAGGTGAAGAGGAGATCGGGAGAAACACACACAAACCAGAGATAACCGTGACAGTACCCCCCCCCCCCCCCCCCTCAAGGGACGGATACCAAACGCCACAGGCCTCCAGGGGACGGCCGGACTGCCGAAGTTGCTCCGGGCGGTGGAACGCTGAAACTAAATGGCTTCAGTCAGGGATTTGAAGGCAATGATAAGTGGCCGCTATGCTGTTAGAAAAGTGCTGGAAAACGTGCTAGTGTTAGAAAACTATGTGCTCCTGACCCAGATGTTGTTGCAGTCCTTTTGACAGCCTTGGTTCCCCCTGCAGGTTCTGGTTCAGGGCTGTCAGCTTGATAGAACGGACCTGGATGAGTTCCTGCACCACATCTACCAGCAGCTCAGAGCAGTGGAGAGCAACATCGCAGAAGTCCTCCATCAGCAGCACGAACAAGCAAGTGCCCACCAACAGTATTTACATTGTATTTTAAGATGTTGACGAGGGAACCGATCTCATTTAAACAAGTCTATCTCTCATCAAAAGCATATCCTTTCATATGAATCATTTCTTATTAATATTGTGAGTGTATCTAAACTCTTATTGCATAGGACTGGCGGTATTTGATATGTTTCTCATTGTCGTTTATTGTGACTCAATCCTACAAACACGTCCTGCTGCCACAAATACTCACCAGAGAAATGTGGATTAATCCGCCTCTGAAAATAGTCCCCAACAAATGCACTATATCCTCCCGTTTGAGTCATTTTTGATTTAAAAATTGTTTTTTCAGTGGCCGAAAATTCAGTGGCCAGGTGTTTTAGGAAATCATTTCTCCTTTTTTATTTTTCATATAAATATAGTGTTTATGATGTGTTTTAAAGATGCAAATCTTCAATGGGATTGGAGCAGAGAGCACAGACAGAGTAGGGAAGTCAGAGACTGACTGTTATAGAGCTCATTGTTGGTTTCCTTTTGGAGATTTGTTGACATTCAGAAAAATACAGAACAATGCCCGTCTTCTCCTTTAATGTTTTGTCGTTTGTAGAGAGTTTAGAAATAACAAGGTACCTTTAGGTAGAAGGAACGTGTCTAAGGGATACATCTACTGGATCTCTTAGTCTTTAGGTTGGAGCCTTCTGGAGGTGTTGTAGGTCTGATTCATACCGACACACTGATGGGAGGTGACCTCCCGATAACCCCAGAGGCAAACCTATACTTCCATCAACTCTGATTAGCTGGCTGCTGCCTGTCTAATATTCTGATGTCCTAATGCAGGGGTGTCAAACTCATTTTCACTCTGGGCCACATCAGCATCATGGTTTCCCTCAAAGGGCCGGTTGTAACTGTAAGACTGTATAACTGTAACTACTCCTAACATATTGCTAAATAACTGTCTCTGCTTTTGATTATTGTTTATTCAAGTGTAAAATATTGTACATGCAGTTATATAAATGTAAAATGATATTTAAGCACATTTCTGTTATTATAACATAAATCATTTTAATTTAGGGTTAAGAAACCCACATTACTCTATCAAAGATCAAACTTTTAAAGAAAATAACAGACAAATATCATCAAACACAAGTTATTACATTAACTTTGTTCAAAGCTATTTGTGTCACCTCTCTGCATCACTAATGTCCCTCCCTGCCGTCGTCCCGTGCATGGCAGCTACATCCAAGAGCTCCTCACTGAGAGTCAGGTCTGCCTTGAGCCTCTTTCAAACACTGATAGATGATGTATCTCGTCTCTGAGCTAGCTGTGTTGTTAGATTGCTGCTAGTTCCTGAACTCGGTCTGCGATGGTGTTTCTTCACAAACTGACATTTGTAAAAGTCTGTATCTGGTCGGAGCTCACCTGCTCACATACCTTTAGCATGCACTGGGCTGTAGCTTCTGTAAATAGATTCTGCTGTGATTGCAGTCTGCCTTTTAATTCTTGGACAATTTGATGTTTTTCTTGGAGGCTTAATTTAGCTCCGTGTTTGGTGTCAAAATGCCGACGTGAATTGTATCCTTCATCACCGACACGCATCATAACACAGAAGACAGACCCGTTTTTCTCCCTGAAGCACAGACATGTATTCTCTTTCCCATCTTAAATTACATCTTCTTCCCTCTGCATCCATTGTTCTCTTCGTGGACATTTTGGGATTATTTGTTGATCTTTTTCAACTCAGTCACTTGTTGGAAAACCGCTTTACCGGCTGTTCCCTCTCCTGTCCACCTGTTGTGATAGTTTTAATGTCGGTACACAGACAACATGCTATCTCATAATTTCAACTTTCTATCTCATAATTTCGACCATGGGGATACTTTTATTTTCAAGTCTATCTTAATTTCTTTTTTTTTTCAAAATAAAATTTTTAAAAAAAAATTTTTTTTTTTTTTTTTTTTGCTGGTGGATTCGCGGGCCACATAAAATGACGTGGCGGGCCGTATTCGGCCCGCGGGCCTCGAGTTTGACACGTGTGTCCTAATGCATCACAGCTCAAGAAACAACTTTGTTATGAAGCCTGACATACCAGGAACAACAATTCCTTGAGTTGAACCGGATTTGTGTTGCCTTGTGGGCTCGTCCACCGATGATCCAAGTCATGGTTTAGAGGGCAGTCCTAACTATGTTCCACCTGTGTCTCATCGCCATCATCTTAATGGCAAAGAGCAGTTGTGATGTGTGAACAGTTAGCTAAAGCACGACATTGTCTTTGCCACTTGCCGCTGGTTACCGTGGGTGTGCCAGCACTCACAACAGTGGCATAAAGTGAGTAAATATGCCACCTACATGATTTTTCAACTATTTACTGGGGTCAACAGTAACGCTGGCAACCAGGCCTTAGCTTCTGGTTGCTGAAATGGAAAATGTCGCAATGTTTTGTCACCTTATATTTTGAGTGATTAAGATACTGTACAGTAATACATATGTGTCATACGTATACCTGTCATGTGTATGTCGTACATGCTTTGCTGTATCATTTCCCATCCAGCTCAAAGATGTCAGGATACAAGAATTAGTTGCCATTTTATCAACCTGGCAACCCTTATTATTGTGCCCTGATTTATGGGACTTTGTGCCTTTGCTTGTGTTGTATTGGTACCCTTGACAGGGGTCATAGACAACAGGGACCCCCAAAACTCAATATAGGCAAATTTTGCGTGGTGGCACTTTCAGTGGAACTCCAAGATTAGGGTGGAGTGGGGAGGCTGCAGTTACAATTTAGAGACTGCCTCCCTTTGTATGCGCCATGTCAGTAGTTTTACTGGTTGGTGTCTAACGGAACGAAAACAATCTCCGTCCACGCGGCGTTTTCTAAATGATCTCCGTCCGACTAAAACGCCTGAAAACGAATATCACGTGACTCTTCACCTACACTGGGCATGATGGTTGCCGGTGTAAACAGGAAGTAGATTGGTTGGTAAGTTAAAAAAAATAGGACAGAGTAATAAAGTAGTCTTTAATAATGAAAGGTCGTGTTTGATACTTAAGATCTTCTCTAAAATCTTCCTCTATGAACTCAAACAGACACAGTTCGTGGAAAGTTTTGGAAGTTATATTTTCAGACTTAACTGCAGGTCTTGCTCTTTATCTCTCTCACACATCAAATTCACTTTAAAATCAACACTTGCACATAAAGGTTTACTAGATTATGGTCCATAAATGTGGTCAACACACGTCTCTCACTCGTTTCCTCGTTGTTTGTTCTCACTCGTAGCTCTGCTGGTGGCTGAAGTTTCTGTCATACTGAAGAGCAATTACTGCTTTAGTTCCTTTACATTTTATCTGCGGACTTCACAATAGATGTGCAGAACAAAATAAGCATTAATAAGGAAAGGAAAGTCTTCCGTTTGTGTCCATCACCCTCCCTAAAGCCGCTAACCGTGACTTCAGACGGCCGCTCCGTAGGTCTGATAACGCCGCTGGTCACGCCGCTCGCTGATCGCTCCAATAACAGCTGCTTCCTCCGTAATAATGCAGACTTTAACTGGACAACAGCTGCTAGTAAAGACAACAAGGTCAGCAACACCTGTAATCAGTTGTCCATGTTAAATTAACCTGGTAGTTGATCGGTAATCAATGTTGTTGTTTGTGATCTTCCGGGTAAGCGTCACGTGATAGGAGTATGACGAATCAGGGAAGGACACGTCATGACTGCTAAGAACCAATCAAGTAGTGAACGCGGGTGTGGGCGTCATCGTTTCTGAATGTATCCGTTTTCGACCGTCCACACGAAGAGGCAACCCCGGAGTTTTCAAACTTATCCATCCTCGGGAGAGTTTTCAAACTCCTCCGTTTTCGGTGCTGGAAAACGCCGTCGTAGTGTGGACGCTCAGTGTAAACGTAGCAGAACATATGCGTTTTCATATGGAAATGGAATAGTGTGGATGTGGCATAACATCAAAGTGTCCATTGTTGATGACGATATATATCAATGTATTTTTTCCCTGTGCTTTTCAGTCTGTGGAGCCAGTCCAGAGCTCCAGTAGCAACATCCTGGATGACCAGCCCCACAGGAAGCAAGGCATTTCAATGGTGTCAGCTGATATGGGTCTGGTCAGCATGGTGCGCCAGGGCATCCTGGCCCTTCAGCTGCTGCCCCCAAACTCCAGCGCAGGTAGTTTTGTCCTTCAGAACCCAAAGTCATCATTTAGTTTCTCAATCAAGAGGGGGTCTTCGTGGTTTGGAACTCCTCCCTTGTTGAGTTGCTGAGTTGTTTCCTAGGAGCACTTTGAAGGAGTCCAAACCCCTCTAACAACCAGGCCTTTGACTGGACAACTCCTGCATCACCAGAAACAACACAGCTATTATGAAATGTACATGTACACAAAGACACTCGCATGTATACCAACACACGCTTACCTGCATACAGTATACTCAAATATACATGAATCTAAAGTAAACAGAGACTTGTGCAAGAGAGGTAGGAAGCTACAAGAACTCAATGCAAGAGAAACAACCCCCCCCCGGGGACAATAAAGTCTAAAGTCATTGATTGTGCTTTCTGAGTGTTGCTCTGACACTTTGTGGTTCTGAGGTTGTTTCTGCCAGCAGTTTGTTTCCTGAGCGTCTTTGGAGTAACAGTTAGGCAGTTTCTCCCCGTTAGAGTTGTTCCTGTTCCGATGTGAGGGTCCTGGGACAGAGGATGTTGTATGTCTACAGACTGTAAAGCCCTCTGAGGCAGATTTGTGATTTTGGGCGTTACAAAATAAATTGAATTGAATAGAATTAGGCATGTAGTCAAGCCCACTCACAGGAAACTGAACAAGGATGTACCGTGTCCCCACTCCTGTTTTGTAATTCCCACACAATCAAAATGAAGGTCTGGAGAGTGTCACGTTTTGGTGATGTCAGTCTGGTGGCCATGAGAGCTCAACACACTGCAGCTTAAGAAAACACGACCAAATACAGACACGCTGCAAGTCACACAGAATACAAACTGCTCATGATGGGCTATAATAGCAAATATCTGCAATGCGGGTTCATTACCTCTTATTATGTAACCATGTTTTATTGTGTTGTGTCTGTATTTAGTCGTGTTGTGTTTTTTTGCAGTGTGCATGTGTCTGCATGTGCTTGTGTTGTTTTTCCCCCTTTTGCAGCATTTATCTTCGGAATGCAGCTCTTGTCAAATTGCTGCAGCTGTTTTCTTCATTTATCTTTTTTGAAGTTGCAGTGGGTTGAGCTTTCAGGCCCACTATATCATAAAGGTAAATATTTTTGCATGAAATTTCCGTCTTTGATTGTGTTATGACTAGAAGTGTTAGTCTCAATATGCTTCAAATAATAATAATAACTTTATTTATATAGCACCTTTAAAAACAGAGTTCACAAAGTGCTTTGACAGCCAATAATAACAGAAAGCTCAGTGAGACAGTTGGATACGTTAAAAATAAACTAAGAAATAAATATAATAAAAGATGAAAATAATAAAAATGGCCTATGAAATGTAATTCAAGCACTTGAACCTGTTGTGAAATGCCGTCATATCCTTCTGTCTGCCTTTTGCGTGTCTTGGTCATCTTGGTGTGATAAACACTGTTCTACACCTTTGAAGCACCTCACGTGACTTCATCACTCTTCACAATAAGAATTAGTTTTTGAACTTGTGTGTGTTCCAGGTATCATCATAATCACAGATGGAGTGACGAGTGTTCCTGATGTGGCCGTGTGTGAAACCCTGCTGAACCAGCTCAGGAGTGGAACCATTGCCTGCTCCTTTGTGCAGGTAAAGACCAGAACATTGTTACTTGTCTAGCTTCTTCTTTCGAGACAGGTTGTCAGTGTTTGGCATGTCGACGTGGTGACTCCACAGTCTTGATCCTGGATGAAGGAGACATTGTACTGAAGCCTCTGACTGCTCTTCTTTGACTTCATCCCTCTCCAGGTTGGCGGTGCGTACTCCTATGACTGCAGCTTTGGCTACATCCCCAATGTAGAGCTGATGAAGTTCATCTCATTAGCCACCTTTGGCTCATACCTGCCCAGCTGTCCTGAAGTGGATCTGAACAGCCAGGAGATGAACACCTACCACAAGGCCTTCTTAACCTACTCCTTCCTCAACACCTCCGAGTCCATGAACTCCGAGTACTTATGTGGTGAGACAGCTAGCTTAGCTATGCATACTATGAAGTCTTGAAATTGAGTGTGTGTAGGTGTTACGCCCCCGTTGAGGGGTAGAAGGGCGCAACATAAGGGCTATTCAGTTCCTTCTTCGGTCCCCAAAACATAGACTGTATATAAGAAGTGGATGTAGTCACCACAACGTTCGGTTTTGAAGCCTTGAGTTTGGCATTTTGGCCATCTCCATCTTGGTTTTTGCTGTCTCCATCTTGGTTTTTGGCTTTTTCCATCTTTTGGTTTTTGTCCGTCTCCATATTGGTTTTTTTGCCATCTCCATCTTTTGGTTGTTGGTAGTATAACTGCATGCTGAACAAGTCATTTTTAGGCAACCAAAATGTTTCAATTAACTTTCATGAACTGAAAACACACTTTGAAAGAGTTAAAAGTTCTAAGAGTAAAAACACAGACAGCATTTATTGATTAAAACATACTGGTACCTTTTTTCCTAGGTTCTCATTAACTACAATAGTCATTAATGGTAAGTTGGTCAAGAATGTATATGCTAATTTTGACAATTTAACACAAAAGTCTAATAAGATAAAATGGTGACATTTGGGACAGGCATGGATGTAAACTCCAACTTGACTGGTAGGTGGAGCCATAAAACTGCTTGGCGGTAATTCTGGTGTGTTTTTTTTAAGTTTCAGATGTGACCTATCTAGATGAATTGAATAGAAGGAAGAATGTAGAACTTTACGGCCATTATCCCACCAATGGAGTCTATTTTGAATTCATTTCTAAACTTAACTTTTATATATATATTTTTTCTACTCTATGGTATTTTTCACTGACATTATTTCCGAGATAAAATGTAATACAACATAGGCGTATTGCTATTGACGATGATGATTATGATGAAAATAAATAGGCCTACATACCAACTACTTCCCTGTTTTGTAGTTTCCCAGCACAAACTGTTCAATGAGCATCTGGTGTCAGCCAGCGGGAACCCAGCCCTGGTCATGAGGAGGAAGAAGCACACAGAGAAGGAAGTCCATGCTCATCTAATCAGCGTGGTGTCTGTGCGACTGAGGGAGGGCTACACCATCAGAGAGATCAGCCTGACCAAAGGTAAAACGCTCTCTTCACAAAATCTGAACAGCAGCTCATCAAGAGAGAGCACCGTTAGACCCGAGTCCTGTTTTCTTTAGGTGGCAGTCAGCTGGAGGTGAAGCTGGTGCTGTTATGGAAACACAACATGCACATCGAGTACCTGGCAGCCGCCTCCTGGCCGCTGGACCCCGCCAAGAGAACCACCAGGGTGGAGGTGACGATGGAGGGGAGCTACGATATCCTGCATGACATCAGCTGCACCCAGAGGAAACCCATCACCAGCCCGTACCGCACATCCGTCATCCGGCGCTTCTGGAACACACTGCAGAGGTACACCTGTCTGAAGGACACCATAGTGTCCAACATTAAATAAGATTGGTTGCAATTATTTTAATACTATATTTAATGTGTTGCTCTGCGTTCTTCCAGCATCAACCAGACTGATCAGATGTTGGTGCACCTCCAATCATTTAATTCAATCCCTGAGAACTACATGATTCCTGAGAGCACCAAAAACGGAGTTCCGTTGTTCTACATCCCCCCCGGCTCCACTACTCCGGTACTGTGCAGACCTTCATTGATCCTTCTTAACCATGTTGAGAACTCCTAGACAGTTTGGTCTGATAGAACTCCTCTTAAGTGCAGATTTAACTAAACCTATAGCTTGCTTTTGTGAGCTTTGTTATGAAAACTATGTATTTTGTATTGTCTTCCATTAAAGCCACTATGATCCCGTTCCCACTGGGCAATATACCCGCTAACACCCACTAACTTCTACATTTTTTTACAATGCAATGCTATGTGTCACGTAGAAGTAAATATATATTAAATACTAGAAAAGTGCCCTCAGTAGAGTGTAGATCTCTGCCAGGTGTGTCTGCAACAACCACTACTGTATTGTGTGATTGAATGAATACAACCCACAATGGGCTAACTCCCCATCTAGACACCAATGGGCTGTAAGGTGTCGTTAAACTCAAAAACAAGCAGTGATGTATGCAGACAATCAGCCCAAAGTCGTCGTACAAGACGCGTCCTACAGTCTCGCCAAAACAAATTTAAACGCACTAAGCTGTCTGCCCGAGGAGCAGTTGCTGAGTGGCGGTGATGTTCTCAGAGTGTACTGGTAGTTCCATCCATGCAGCCATAACTGGCCACCCACGCATTCGTGACGTCGGAATCACACAGAAAACACAGAAAACAGAAAGGAACTCTCATCGACTGGCAATGGGAAAGGAGGCTATCGCCCAAAAACCTGCATTTACGCGCTAACCTTGGGGAACAAATGTGTATTGGTGTTGAATAAAGCAATGTCAATTATTATTAATTGGTACTACCACCAAAGTGTATGATTCTACACACTGTAGCTCGAAGCTGCAGTGGAAAATAGTTCATAGTTTACCAAAGACATGGTCTGTTGATTCAAAGACAGTGTAGGGCAGGTCAGGGTAACCAATGCATCCTCTCAGCCTTTCTTCTGTTTGCGTGCCTCGTTCGGCTGAATGGTCTCCTCTTTGTCCAGGTCCTGTCCCTGCAGCACAGTGGATCCAAAGACTCCTCTCAGTCCCAGTTTGCTTCCTATTGGAAGCCCATCCTCTCCATGGATGCCAACTTCTGGCAGAGATGGCTGCACATGCATCGCATTGCCATCCTCCTTGAACATGACATGTGAGAAAACTCTGCGTTTGGCCTTAATATCTGCCATATCTGTTTGGATATGTCCATCCTGGTCTGTCCGTCCCTCATTACATTCATCATTCTGTCCCTCTAGGCCTGTCCCCAAACACCTGCACACAGCTGGAAACAATGGACGCTACAGCACCATTCAGTGTCGTATCTCCCACTCTGCCCTCACATCCCTGCTGAGGGACTGGAGCAGCTTCGTGCTGGTGGAGGGATACTCCTATGTCAAACTCATATACAGGTGAGACAGCAGTTGGAAATACCACATGGGCTCAAGAGCTGGAGGAAACCTTCGTTGTTTTATGTGCTGGATACTGACACGAAGAGGATGCTTTTGGATCGGAGCTGGTGGTAGCTGACATTTCTGACATTATTTAGCATCTTCAGTTTTCAAAGTTCTCAAAGTAAATCCTCCTCAACTGGAAATATTTCCCGCACAACTGTGTTCTCAGCAGGGTGAACACAGCCTTTACAGGAATACTCTACCACCAAAACTATATCAATTACTTATCTTGTGTTACCTTGAGGCTTTTAAATGATATAAATCATATCTGTTAACAATAATTTAGTTCTTGAAATAACAAGGTTTCAGTGATTTGTGTCTCCACAGTTCGTCGGACCAGCCTCCCACCTCCTTCTACCTGGTCCGCCTCATCTCCAAGACGCCCTGCATGGTTCTGCGTCTGGGCTTCCCTATTGGTACACCAGCTCATGTCAGAAACAAGGTACTTGCAGAAGGTTATCACAGTACAGGGACACTTCCAAACCAATGACTCTGCCTTTGTGAAGAGGATAAGGAGGTTCCAGCTTGTAGTAGTGTGGTTATGTTATAGTTTGTGTTGGATTGCATGTTGCATTCTCTTTGTATTTAGCAGAATATTGTCTTATTTAGTGGATCTTGTTTGGAAATGTAGTTTTAAAGATGAGTGCAGAACATGATACAGTAGTAGACATCCATGTATTGATAATTGGAGTAACAACAGTAAATTTGACGAACAATCTTAACTCAAAGGAGATTTACCAGCTTGTTCACAGTCTTCAGCAGATGAGGACCATTGGTTAGAGGAGATGCAGTTGGAAGCTCTGGTAACGGTTAATAAATGCAACTTGAGTTAAGATTTAGTCGTCTTCTGTTTCTTGGAGTGAAAACTCAGCAGGTATTACTGAAGTTAAACACACAATATGTCATTTTCTGTCTCAATCCCAACAATAAGAAAAGATGGAGCATGGAGACGTTGTGAAGTTAGCGTGGGTTCGTGGGAGTTGTTGTCGTCATCTCAGTCAGCTTCTTCCGGTTAGATGAGTGTTCATCGTTCAGGAGGTTTTTAACCGCAGAGGTTCAAACAGACCCGCAGATTAAAACCGCTAAAAGCACTTTATGAAGCAGTGTCACGTAAAAAGCGTCCCGGACATTTGGCTACATCAATTAGGCAGCCAATCAATGAAAACGCAGTGAGGTGGCGCCGTCCGCATCTGTACAGACGTTGAAAAACTGGTTGCTGTATGTTTTCTGAGCTAACCTGTGCTAACATTCGTGCCCTCCATCAGATTGTTGACGAGCTGCGAGATCAGATCCTCAAACTTCGCTTCCCTCAACGCGTTCAGAACAAAGAGACGACCCCCAAGACTAAGAGGAAGATTGTGGGTCATCCGTCACCGTCCAAGTCTCCCTCCATCCCCGCCCCCAAAGCAGCGCTGTCAGACAGGCCCTGCGTGGTGGTGCTCAACAAGCCTCTGGAGAAGCTGCTCATAAGGTCAGTGCATATGACAGCAGGGCATTCGCTTGCAGTGTCAGAATGCCTCAATTAAAAGTGGACACATTTTAACGAAATGAACCGCGGATGCTGTGCAGGTACGAGAAGCTGCCGCTGGATTTCAGGACTCCTTTCATTTTCAACATGGAGAACTTCCCTCAGCCCTCCAACAGCTCCGTTCCCCTTAGCATGGCGGCCAACCGGATGGCCTCCTCCACCCTGGCCTCTCTGTCCCGGTACTTCCTCCACCAGCGCTGGGTGTGGACCATGCAGAGCAGCCAAGGACCGGCTGTGGCCATGCAGGCAGTCGCTCACATCCTGTCCATGCTCTCCGAGTGAGTTCACTTCATTTGTGTTTTTTCTTGTAGTTTTTGTCCAGAAAACGTTTTACTTTTTCTATCGTTTTAAAAGAATGATTACATTGTTTTGCTCAAAATGATGAGCAAAACAATTCCAGGAAGCAACATTTGATTGGTGGCAAATGTGACCTGAGGTTTCTAATTTCATCACTGCAGCTAATCACAATGAATTATCGCTGTTTCAATGCTACGTAAAGACGTAGCAGCTGTGCTGGTTCGATGTGAGATAAGCAGCTTTGTGGAGCGTGTCGCCTAAAAATGTCTCTGTGTACGTGAAGGATCCGCATTTCAGAAGGCTTTCACTTTGCCGCCAGTGGAGAGGGCATCGTTAACATGGTGATCGAGCTGCCAATGAAGGTGAGGCGGCACTAAATGCACCTTCATCTTCAGTGCTGGAATGTTTATGTACAGTTGCGTTTGGTGTGACTACTGGTCTACTTACTACTCTTTTCTTTTCTATTTTCAGGGTGTGTCAGGGGACACGGACAGAGAGAGACACTCTTGTATCGTTCAGTACATCCTGTTCCCACCTCACTCTACATCTACTAAGGACAGGTGAGACTGGCAGTAATCACCTTCACACAACTCGTTATTTTAGGATGGAACTCTGAAGGCTTCTGCAGTGGCCAAGTACATACTCACAGTCCTCGATAGATGGAGAAACAGCCACTCTCAACACCACAGTTGTAAAATCTTGGTGAAAACTGGTGCAGGATATGTGAAACCGTTAGGGGGATCAGTGTGTCTTGCATTGAATGAAGAGGAATTTCCAGGTGTTTTTATGGAAATGTGGATGTTTCAGATCAATCTGAGTGTCTCTGGTTTGCATGTTCCACAAGTTATCTTAAGTGTGTCGTGCAGTAGGACTCGCACTGGTCTTGGTCTTGACTTGGTCTCAACCCCTCAACGCTGCTACACATTGTGGTTTTAAACTCGAATATGGTCTAAATACTTGCTCCTCATTTATGCACAATGCACCAAGTTTAGTTGTCAGACCTATGTCCGTTGTGTGTCATTGTCCTCCAGCTTCTCCACTGATGACGACAACGACACCGAGGTGGAGGCCGTAGACGTGGACACGGAGCTCAACCTTGTGACAGAGTGCTGGGTGGAGCCGCAGAGCGGCATCGTGATGAACTGCATGGACCAGCATCGCCACTTCCAGGGTCTCAAGTACCAGGAGATCCCTCAAGCAGTGCGTAGTCCGTCCATACATTCATTCACTGTGAATTAGAGCTGAGGGGGGACATGGAGGGGGGGTGGTCTAATTCTCAGTTCAGTTGACTGACAGCTTATCTGTATGTACGATGTTTTAAGGCCTATTGGGTTGTGTTTGATAGCGACCTGCTCTTTTGTTATAGATCTTTCCAAGGGACCTGGCCTGTATGTCCACCATGATGACCTTTGAGCATTTGAGCCAACTGTGTCAGAATAAGGACCAGGTCTGCTCCCTGCCAGCTGCTCTCCAGGATGTGAGAGGTAATGAAACCCCAGTAAAACATTTGGTACTTGACTCTGGACTTTCTAAAACGGTGTCCACCAGTGGTGCAGGAAGTATTCAGGTCCTTTACGTCAGTAAAAGTAAAAAAACTAGAGTGTGTGTGTGTGTGTGTGTGTGTGTGTGTGTGCGCGTGTGTGCGCGCGCGCGCAGGAGAAGCTCTGGCCTCTGATGACAGCATTCACATGGTCCCTTTCCAGTTTGACCTCATCCAGCTGCTCCCTAAGTGCCAGCAGGTTGAGATCTTCTTCCTCACATTTGGCACAGGTACGATACTCATCTGGTCTGCACACTTCCCCTCGACACTGAGAATAATACAAAACCATCATCAAATACATAGGTTTTTTGTTTTTTTTAAAGTTAACAATGAAATAAAGAAACAAAGTCAAGGATTACTTTACCATTTACTCTTTTAGAAACAGTAAGGTGACACGTGTGTCTCCCCCTTTTTGCCTGTAGCAGTGGCGAACGAGGAGCAGATTCACAGTGCCCCCTGTCTGCCCAACGACCTCCTGCTGAGTCTCTTCCACAGCAGCCTGGAGCACGAGCTCACCGACAGAGAGGTCCCGCTGGCCGACTGTGACCACGTCGCCTTCATGCACCACATCTTGGAGCGGGAGCGAGACGGCCACGTCGCTCCTTTCTCCTTACCTGTTATCAAAGGTCAGCACATGTCATCTCAGCTGCAGTGCTAAGCCTGTGTGCGTGTGTGTGTGTGCGTGTGTGTGCGTGTGTGCGTGTGTGTGCGTGTGTGTGTGCGTGTGCGTGTGCGTGTGTGTGTGTGTGGCAACGTGTGCCTTCTGTTTTGTCCATTTGAATCTGATACAGGAGGGGGTTTCCTCTTCTGACGTGCAATCTGTGCCTCTTGTGTTTCGTCAGAGTGTGTCAAGCCTCCAGACAGACAAGACACCATGACGTCATTCCACACCACCGGCAGCAGCAAAGAGGTGACGGGATCTACCAGCACTTTACAGGTGATCCCATCCATTCAAAAACTAAAAACTAGTGTTAAGCCAGAATAGTAGTTTTCATAGACATTACAGTGTTTCCCTTTTGGAAGATGGGCCTTACCAACACACCAAATTTAGCACTTTAAAGTGTCTTTAAATGTTCTATTACAACACTTACTTTTCAAAATCCACATGAACCGGCATATCGGCAGGAATTAGATCCAGATTCATTCTTCATTCTTTTTATTTAAAAAGAAAATGTGTCACTTTTAAAGCTGGTTTGCCTGTTACACCAGTTATTTCCTTCTTCCTAAACAGTAGTGAAGAACAACAGGAGTTGTCATTCAAACTAAATTATGACTTGTGTGTTAACTGTGTTCAAATGAATCAGAGCACACAAGGCCAAACATCCATCAATCAATCAATCAATTAAGAGGTTGTTAATCAGAGTCTGGTGCAGTGCTCGCTCCACATGAAACACACCAGGGCAATATTACATCACAGACAACAATGAGGACAGAGCAGCATCCCAGATCAGTTTTAACCAAAATATTCTCTGGTCGCGCTCAGCTAAAGACACAAAAACACCCAATCAGCAGGGTTTCCTCTGCTCCGCTGTGAGGAGAGACGGGTGACGTTAAGATGACATCTGCAGCAGTTATAAACGGGCTCGTTAGTGAACGACACGCTATGGAACATGAGAGCGGAGGATGTTAGTCACTGGGTGGCTGGATCACTGCATTATGTTTAGTACAAAAATCAGACTTGGATTTAATATTTTTGATTTATTCATTGTTCTACATGTTTTATATTTTATTAACATATTCATACACCTCATATTCCTGGCATGAACGTGTCATGCTCTGGTCAAACTAAACACATTTATGTGAGCGTATAACTCCTGAGAGGGAGCTCTTGGTCGATGTTAAAATAAAGCCTCTCTCCTATTGGCCATTTCCTTCCTTAACGATATGGATTCACTGTTTAAGCTCGGGGAAAGAAGAAGGTAAGGTTTATGACAGGGTTAGGGTGAATTTATCGAGACAACATGAACATGGAGCAAGCGTTGAGTCTGCATCAACAGTAAATTAAAACTGGAACCATCAGAAAACAATATAATCAGATGTTTCCAATGGGAATCTGCAGTGGGAGCTGTATCAGGGCCTACATGTGTCAGAATCAGAAACTGTTTATTGCCAATGTTGCACATACAAGGAATTTGTCATGGCAGGTGGTGCATAACATTAAACAATCAACACAGTGCAAGAAATAGAAACATTGAAATTTCCAATAGAATATAAAAGAATATAAAATAAAGTGCACAACAAACAGATAACAGCACTATAAACAAGTATGATGAAGTGTAATGTTAAAAGTGTCAAGTGTGTTTAAATGAAGAAACAGAGAAGGGATGGGCAGGGGAGTGACCGGTAGGAAATTGTGGGGATGTCGGAGTCAGTGGAGGTCCCGGGCTTTGTTGATAAGCCCAACAGCAGATGGGGGAAAAAACTGTTCATGTGGAGTGAGGTCCGCAGCCTCCTGCCAGATGGAAGGGTCTCGAACTCTTTGTGTCCAGGGTGAGAGGGGTCGGCTACAATCTTTCTTGCTCGCTTCAGGGTCCTTGAAGCGAACAAGTCCTGGAGGGACGGCAGTTTGCAGCCAATCATCCTCTCGGCAGAGCGAATGATGCGCTGCCAAGGACAAGGGCAGACTGCAGCGTACCAGACCGTGATGGAGGAGCAGAGGATGGACTCAATGATCTGTAGAAATGCACCATCATTGTCTTTGGCAGGTTGAATTTCTTCAGCTGCCTCAGGAAGTACATCCTCTGCTGAGCCTTCTTGGTGATGGAGCTGATGTTCAGCTCCCACTTGAGGTCCTGGGTTATGATGGAGCCCAGGAAGCGGAAGGACTCCACCGCGTCGACGGGGGAGTCACACAGGGTGATAGGGGCAGGTGGGGCTGCATTCTTCCTGAAATCCACAACCATCTCCACTGTCTTTAGAGCGTTGAGCTCTAAGTTGTTCAGACCGCACCAGGTCACCAGATGGTCAGTCTCCCACCTGTAGGCGGACTCATCCCCACCAGAGATGAGTCCAATGAGGGTGGTGTCATCCGTGAGCTGTTGGTGTACAGGGAGAAGAGCAGAGGGGAAAGAACACAGCCTTGGGGGGGAACCGGTGCTGATGGTCTGCTTCTCCAGACAGAAGCAGTCACTTGCTGAGAGCTGGTGTTGCAGTTTCTCAGAGTACAGTCATTTAGCATCTCTCACCGCCTTACAAAACCTGTACTTTGACTCTTTATACAAGTCCTTATCCCCACTCCTAAATGCCTGATCCTTGTGCAGCCTCAGCTGTCTGAGTTCTGCTGTAAACCAGGGTTTGTCGTTGTTGTAACTCACCCTGGCGCTTGATGGAACACAGCTGTCCTCACAGAAGCTGATGTACGACGTCACAACCTCTGTGTACTCATCCAGACTGTTGGTAGCAGTCCTGAATACATCCCAGTCTGTACAGTCCAAACACGCCCGAAGATCCTCCAGAGCTTCACTGGTCCACTGCTTGAGTTTCCTCACTACAGGTTTACAGAGCTTTAAGTTCTGCCTGTAAGCAGGAATCAGATGGACCATGACGTGGTCAGAGAGTCCCAGTGCAGCACGAGGGACGGCGTGATAGGCCCCGCTGATTGTGGTGTAGCAGTGGTCTAGAATGTTCTCCTCTCTGGTTGAGCATTTAATAAACTGTCGGTATTTAGGGAGTTCATGACTGAGGTTTCCTTTGTTAAAGTCACCAAGGACAATAACTAGAGAGTCCGGGTAGGTCCGCTCCACACACCGTATCTGATCGGCGAGTGTCCGCTGTCCCTCCTGCACGTTGCCCTGTGGCGGCATGTAAACACCGACCAGTAGGAATGAAGCGAACTCACGGGGGAGTAAAAGGGTTTACAGGCTTGTGGAGTGATGGAATACATTGTTGGAGCTATTTATTTGACATTGTATTTTGTTATTTCATTTATAAGTAGTATTGTTTAATTATTGTAGATGTTTGATATATTAAGATTATTTTTCTCTTTAATAGTAATTTGTTTAGTTATATTGTTTTTTGGGTAATTACTGTGGGCACCTGTTGGTGTGTGTGTGTGTGTATATATGTGTGTGTGTGTGTGTGTGTGTGTGTGTGT